AATAATGCAAATGTTTTTCATGCAATGAAAATCTGTGATGAGACTGTTAAACAACAACATTTCCATTTTCTTCAATAAAATAAAACTTGTCAACATCCTTAACTGGAATGAATCTATTCTGGTGCTCTGAACCAAATCAAAAAGTTTATTTTAAGTCAGTTTGACACTAAATTGTATTTACATATGGTGCCATTGTACAGTAATGGAAATAGTACAGCACTAAATTGCACACTGCCAAAACAAGAAAAATACACCAGTGGAGTTCTGCACTTGCTCTACTCTTAACCCCACTTTTTGCATCCATTACCAGGCACTGTTAAAGAGACAAGATACTGGACTTAAATATGCCTTTTCGCTGATTAAGTTAACAATTTTTATATTCTTAAATTTCCGTGTTCTTCAGGTGTCTTCATTCGTTTATTTTTCTCCAACCGACTAAGCTCCTAGACTGTTCTCCATCTCTTCCAGGACTTTTCAGTTGCATGATGCCCTGTGCTATTCAGTTAAAAGAAATCAGAATGCATCTGAAAGGACAATAATTTTTTTTTTTTATCAAGTCAAAATTTCCTCAAAAAATGCTCATTTTGCAGGAGCTGTACTTTGTGGTGAATTTTTTTTTTCTTTTTCTTTTTGTATGCTAAACTACTGAGCAGCGCTTGTAGCAAGGTTTGTCTGTTTCACTCAATATGTATTTTTTGGCATAAATAAGTAACAGACAGTATTATGACAAAAGGTTGATCCAAGTATCTTCAAGACAATTGAAACATCTCCAAATTCCTCACAGAAAGATTCTCGGTAAAATACAAAGGATAGTCACAGTCTCTGTTTTAGGCATCTAATTTAGGTAGGATTCACAGAAACACAAGCCTACGTATCTTCTAAAGAAAGAAACGGAGAGACCAAGTTAAATGCTTATACTGCTGTAATGTATACTGTATGAATACTACTTTCTTCACATCCTTTTCATAACAGGTTTAAATCACTAATATCTACAAATTAACATAAATCAATGTCTGCTGCCTTTCCCTTATCCTTCATGAGAGTTTTCTCTGCACACAGTGACTATCTAGAGGACTTGTTTGAAGAATACAAAGAGATCATTTACCTGAAGACTGGTATGATGAAGTCACACTGGCACAAAATAATTTTCAAAGACTACTATTTATTTTGTTGATTTGAAACAGCTTCCATGAACCAGGGCTATATTAAGATGATAACCATCTTTATATCCAGCTCTCAAGAAGGATGTCACTAAGATTAATAGAAAAATTAATTATAAGCCCCGGGTGAAGGAAAATACTAACACTTGTAACATAATAAAAGTTTATAAATTCAATTGTTAATCGCAAAGTCTTAAAGTTAAGTACTGCATAGGTATTCTGCCACACTTGTGACTGGATCCTGTGACTTAGATTTTTAATTACCTGCTCAGCTGTACCTACAAAAACACTGTCTTACAAAGAGCTTGTTAGGTAATGATGGGAAAATAAACAAATGTAACCTGGAGCAAACAGTTTCTTAGTCAGAAGAGCTCTTCAACTTGCTCAGTTCTAATCAATTCATGAGGGTTGTTCATAGATCATGCATGGATCAGATATAGCTACAAAAGGAAACATAATGAAGACAAGATGTTGTTTACATCACCACTAGAAACAAACAATAGCAAGAGTCACGAACTAGCAGAGGAACTGGTTACAGTTCTTTATCCATACATTTTTCAAGTTGCACAGTTCTTGAAGTGGGTTTTTTTGTGGACAGTCTATCATCAATCAAATTAAAAATACTTAACTTTTTTCTCAAAGGGAAAAGCAATAAATGTTATTTACGGGTATAAGAGCATATCATAAACAATAAATACAGTACCTAAAGCTAAAATAGCAAACAAATACAACTAATAAAGCCTTGTTTATAACTAAAAAAAACTTTTTAATGGAATACCTATCTGCTCAATGAAATGCTCTTCCTTTCCATTCCCATGGAATTTATCTATATACGACATCCACATGTCACAGCGCTCTAAAAAAATAGATGGAGCCCCTTCAAGGAGCTTGCATGTGGCTTGACCTCATAATATTTATGTATCAAAAGCACCACTGACATATTCTATATAGTCAGTGGTTGACCAGCTGACATGATATCCTGTATTGTGAACACAGCTCACTACGCAAAGCTAAAAAATTTCTTGACACGGATCCATACAGTTTTATACTTCAACAAAGCAACAGCCAGAAGCAAGCCATAGCAGTGAAGAATTCATGTTATAGTTTTTATTTTATTATTTTATCCATTTGTCTTTTAAAAATGAAAAAGTGAATCTTTAGTGAGTATTTAAGTGCAGTGCTCCAAAAACACCCCTGAAGAAAACTAGAGTGAGATAATTTTTCAAATCCACTACCTAGATGCCATAAAATAGAAATTACATATGCCATGGAGGACAGTGTCATCTTGCATAAGATTTTAACGTATCATAGTGCAATGTGACAAACTGTTAGCGACTAATTAATATAAATCTCATAATACTGAAAATATCTCTGTCCACTTTTACGTTTAATGCTAAGAGCTATAATTAACATAATAAGTAAAAAACACTAATACACTCATTTTCATTCCTCATTTCTAAATGTTCCATCAGTGAGAAAAATTAATAATTTAACAAGTAAAACTTATCAGGAAGGTGAATTCATGGAAGACCATTGCTATGTCTACGTTCAGATCCTCTAACAGTGAAAAGAACAGATAAACCAGAATATGCCACACTGGAAATTGGAAAAACTGCAATTCGAATACATCTGTAACAGACTGTACATCCACAAGATCAGAAAACCAAAGATCAAAACTGTAATATGATTTTATTTGGCTTATGGGTTTGGGGATCTACCTCCTGAAGTATTCCTATTTCTTGTCATTGCCCTCTGTTCTCAAAATGCCATCCATATAACTAGATAAAGTCCCTCACATAACCTTCAGAGGAACACATCTCAATTAGGCCATATACGAGGACAGCTTCAGCATGATGAAAACTGGAAAATGTCACTGTCCAAACAAGAAGTAAGGAGGAAGAGCTCAAGTCTCTGTGCCCTAACCTAAAGTGAGCCATTTGTTTCATCTCCCTTTGAATACTGAACAGCTTTTGAAGCTATTTACCCACAAAGACTGCAGAACTTCTGGGCGACAAATTAGAAATTTTAATGTTTATTTTGTTTACGATGTTTATTTTTGCCAAGAGTTTAAAAATCATTCTGCTCGCCAGTAATTGAGCATAACCACTATTGTAGGTAGATATGCAAGAATATAAAAGGAAAAAGTGTATTTTACAGGAAAAAACAAAACAAAACAAAAAAAACCAACCCCAACAAAACAAAACACACAAGAGCATTAATATTAATAAGTTAAAATTAGACACAGCCTGACCTGGAGATCTGATTAAGCACAATCACATTCCAAGCACTATAATGTTGGGAATAGTGTTTCTGAGCTCTTCTTATTGTGAAATGTCAGCAATAATGATCTCGAGCAACTTCACCCTGAATTTGGTCTGCCTTTGATAAAATAACATGATAGATCTGTAAGATAATAGTAACTTACAAACTTTTATTGTCTTCATGATTAAGTATGACATTTTTCCTATACAAAGTGCCAAAACTGGAAAAAAAGGCCCAAAGGTCACAATCCAAGGAAGAACTCTTTCAAAAGAGAGGACTGCTGCAAAGCCAGTGCTGCTAGCATGATCCACAGGGGCTCTTTCTGACTAGCCTGCTGAAACAGTTTTTAAATTATCAGTTAAATGCCTGTGGAGATCCAGTTCCTCAATTATTGATTGACCTATATATTTTTGGCATCAGTTATGCCCCAGAGAATCTGATTTGACAGGCAGTTAAAAGTCCACAGTTAAATAACGTCTGAAATAGCCAAGACAAGCAGACTGACTTCCTAAGAAGATTAGTTTCTTCTGTTCACCAGAATATTTTGGAGACTGTGTAAAAAAGTGAAAATAGGCACCATTTTGAAAGAACAGAGCCCTGCAATGTTTTGTATGCCCAACAGGTAATATATACACACATACAACAGCCAAAAAAAAAATCTTAAAACAAATAAAATAAACCCCTGTGTCATGATCATCACAAAGCAAAACCATTGATCAGGATACTTTCATATGCAAGGGCTGGCTCTTAAGTAAAATGAGCTGCAGTTTAGTTAACCACTCTCTGAAAGACACCATGGATGTTTGTAGATACACTGCTCATGTTCTTTCCAGCTGACATTGATAACTTATTTTAAGGTTAGAAAGCAGACTACAGGGGCTGCTTTGTGGCCACAGGAAAAGTGATTCAATCTGTGAGATTCAACTCATCTTCTAAAAAATTAATCCAGATTTGCTTTTCCCATAATTGTTTCCTTGCTTTCATCATCACTCCTTCATTGAACCTCTCTCCAGAAACCAGAACGATGAAGAGTCACATCAGGAAGTAAAAGGCAGAAAAAGACATTTACGAAGCTCATCGAGTCAAACAGTGAGGCAGCTGGAGATTATAAAACTGAGCAGAATGGGGACTTATTCTAGTACAGTGTGGGGAAAGAAGATTAGGACAGAAACAGAGAGATTAAATGAAAGGACAAGCATCTTGAAGGGTCTTATATTGCTCCTCAAGGGTAAGACCTAAACATTTCAGGAATTCAGACATTATTGTAAAAAACTATGTTTTGATTATTTCTAACAACGATGAATAGATTTACAGCTGAAAATAGTGGATAAGTGGCATAACTGCTTGTCCTGTATTGTATTGGCAGGTATTGTGTTTCCCATTGTCCTGTTTACTTCAGTGAATGCAAAGGCTTCATGTTAAACCTAAATCCTTCATCTTCCTCTAGAATTATTTTCCAGCAGAATCTAAGTTTCAGCTGTATGATGTGACTCAAAAAAATTTTTTTTTTTTTAAAAAAAAGGGATTGTCAAGGAAAAGATGATTATACAATTATAGCCTTTCTGAATCACACAGTACCTGTAGAAGCATCCACTGTGAAAAAAGAAGAAAATTCTCCTGGGACAAGCTCATAAGTGATAGCACCATATATTCCTGAATCTCTGTCTGTGGCAACAACATTGATGATCTCTGTTCCTGGCTGTGTGTGACTGCTGATGCTTGTCACATAGATGGCTTGTTCAAAAACAGGTTGATTATCGTTAATATCCTCTATCTCGATGCGAACAAAAGCTTGGGCACTCAGCCCACCCTGTTGGATAAAACAGAAAAAAAAAAGTCAATTCAAAAAGTGTACACAATAGAATTATGCACATTCTGGCTTCATCCCATCATTAGGAAATTATTAAGAAATTGAACATGCTGCAACACTAAATACCTGTTAAAAACAGCTTAGGGTATCTATAATACCCCACGATAATGCGTTTAGGCAAGCTACATGCTCAGAACAATTCCAGTGGGCTACCTGACTGAGTACAAAAGTTCAACTTCCTACAACAGTGAGGCCTGAACACAAAGCTATTTTTCTAATACTAATGAGCACTACACACATCAAATCCTTGCTAGTCTAACCTCCCTTTTTACTGTAATCACCTAAACACCACTTTCTCCTTCACAGATAAAAATCAGGGCTTTCTGCCCCAGAAACACATGCCCCTCAGGCAACTGTGGTGCTCCAGTGAAGTGGGAATAACTCCTTTCTGTCTATGAGTCTTTCGGATTTAAAAGTGTGACCAACCTAACAGTGAGCATGAGGCTTTTTCAACTATTGATGAGAAACGCAGGCTGAGAGCAGAGCAGTGCAGGACAGTCAAAGTCGACCTGTCAGTCTGCTGTCTACAAGACCTATCCTCAATATACCCCCCAGGGAAGGTTCTAGCAGTTCTGCTCATGCAGTGTGTGTGCATCTATACATATGTGTGTGTGTATACATCTACATGTATGTGCATGCATGTGCATCTACATACTCACACCTTGTGTACAGAGAGACAGAACAATACGAAATTTGACTGAAGCACAGAGCTGAAATAATTTGTTGATATAAAATTCATAACTGACTACATAAAATTATTTCCAGCAAATTTGTGATTTTGCAGGGAAATTGGTCTCGCCATGCTTTCTAGGGG